TAGCGCAAAACTTAGGTTCATGTTATCTTAAGTTAGACAGTTTTTTTTGAGAGTCAAACCTTTTTATTTACTTCATGTTGAAAGCATTTTTATATAATATAATAAACTTATAGTTTAACACTTGTTTTAGTGAAAAATGCAAGCACATACTCTAACAACACTTAGTACTATAGTTTGTTATGAACAATAATACAATTTTTAAACAAGTTATTTACATATTTTACGTTTTATATATCTTGTATTTAATAATAGAATACATAATAAAGCAAAATAAAGTTATTTGTTACAAAAAAATGCTTAGTATTTTGTAGAACACACTCTCCTTCTAATAACCTCGGCTATTCGTTTAGGCATGTATTGAAACCAGCGTTGAAGATAATTTTTATTAACTTCTTCATATTGGTTATTTTTACCCCAATAGCTTCGTGAAATATTGCATTGATTGTTCCAGCATGTTGAAAGCGATCAGTAATGCGCATCCGTTTAATTTGTCATTCATGACAAGGTTTTATTTTTTTCGGACGCCCACTGCTCTTTTTATGATTTTAAGAATGAAAATTCGTATAATCGGAATTATAAAAAAATTTCGACAACTTGGATTTTTTTTCTCTGAGTGTATATGCATGTGTGTCAAAACGGAAATTGCGTATTTTCGAAATCAAAACACTTTTTTGTTTAAAAAATATTTTTATTATTAAAAAAAATTTATTTCTTTTATTCAAAAAATAAAAAATTTAATTTTGTTTTTTATTTTTTATAAATTCCAAACATTTTTAATGAGAGATTTAATTATATGTATGTAATATTTCTCGCTTCACACTATAGTATTTTAATCGTTGATTGTTTTATTAACTGGGTTAAATAGAAAGATACGATTTTTAGTCGTTTTATCGTTCCACAATATTCTAGTACCAAAACTTGTCTTGGGTTACTATCCAATCATGATTCTAATAAATATACTAAAAGTTACAAAAGTTTATTTAACCCTTTGTAATAAAATTACCTCCATATTTTAGAAGAGCAGATACAATATTTTAATTAGATATTATGAATTTAATTTGTGACATATTAAGCTTGGAGCTCTTTTATTAGTGAAGTTCGTCTTTAGCAAGCATTTATCCACCTCCAAACGGCTGTTTGATTTTATACCATCGAATTTAACCCAGGTTGACAAATAAAAACAAAATTTTAAATATTTTAATACTTGTACTTATTAGCGCCTTCAAAATAGGACCCCTTTAAGCCAATACAAGCATGCTAAGGCTTAATACAATTTTCCACACACTTTTTATAAAGCTCGATAATGAAACTTGCGTTATTTTGAGATACTGTTATGGAGTCAGTGATATATAAGAGTCGCTTGAATTCCGTTGGAAAATTTTATGTATTTTTACCTAGAGTTTCGATTTTTTGGATGCTGTGTTACAATAGTATAATTTTATTTAATTTTTATAACTAAACATTTTACACTCTTGCAACTTGCAGAATCCAAGTCGGCTAAATATTTTCAGGTGTTGGCAAAACTCCATATTCAAAAATGGTTAACTTTATTGTTCGACGAAATTGTGCATGGATTACAAACAAATTTGATATTATTTAAGTTATATTATAGGTCATAGACTCCTTTAGTTTTATTGCTACATTTTACTACTTTTCGTCAAATAGTCAGCCATACGCAGTGGGCTCCACATATTTGTCGTCTGCGTTCTTGAAAAGTTATAGTGGCAGTGCCACGTCCATCGTCCGAATTTCACACCGGCTCCTATAACATAAAGCCGCACCTTCTCGGATGTAAAATTTTATGTCTCTGAAGTTTTTAGCTATTGGCTTAGTTTTTTTTTTTTACTTTAAGTAGTTTTTAACAAAACCGTTATATGTGGAGTGGGCGTGGTTATCGTCCGGTTTTACCTATTTTCACACTGCCGGTAGGTGTTCTTAAAGGATTTGTCGTAAGCGAATTTGGTTAATTTAGCTTTAATGGGGAGATATGTACATTAAACCTTTTGGAGGGCGGGGCCATGTACATTTTTTCTAAATTTTTGGCCGACAGGTGCCCATTGCTGCTGCAACTACAAGTAATTTGGTACTTAGTTATGGCATTTGATAAGTTTTCGATGAATGGCGTTTTATGGGCGTGGCAGTGGTCCGATTACGTTCAACTACGAACTCTACCTTACTTTATTGCCCAGGAACACGTGTACAATGTTTCATTACGATTTATATATTTTTACAGCTTAGTTACAGCTTGGATTTCCACTCGTTTCGTCATCTTAATCACGCTGCAGGGAAATAAGGGTGCCTAACACTATATCTAACTCGATTATTTTTAGGTGAAACAAACAAATGTGATATATGTACATTTTAAATAATTTGACTTGTTATTATAATATAAATGAACTTATTCTTTACTAATTAAATAATTAAATTAGGTATTCTCTGAGTTCATTAAGTAAATAAAAATAATTAATTGTACAAAAACAAAAAAAAACGTGTTTGTGGTTTTCATTTGTCACAACAGCGGTTCGACATTCTACGCTGAGTGTAGTGAACCGCTTATCCTCATATGAGAATATAACAAAGCATTGATGAACTTTGACCGCGCTTCTCAACCAATATACTACCATCTAATATGATAGAACAACCAAATGAAAGATTTGGTGAGACAAGTTTTCACGAATGAAAAAAAGCTCTTAGGAGAGGCGATGAGTGTAAAAAATATTTCGAAAAATTATAAACTTAGCTTCCGCCAGGTTTCGAACGCACAAATCAACGCTTGTTAGCCATGCACCCACTCGCTTACCACTCACCTCAGCATGCTGTTAGAATTTTTTTTATTCGCTGTTGTTGCAAAAACTTGTTTATGGCATTTTATTGGCGGTAAGTATGTTATTGTTCAACACAATGCGAGTTGATGTTGGTCAATGACGCTGATCGGTATTATTTTGCCACGCCATTTTCACAATTGTCTGTGCAATAAAGAACCCGTCTGCCTCTGCAAACGTTTGACTAAGCATGTGTAAACGTAATTTTACACAATAAACAAATAAAACCGAGATTAAGAAAATTCCGAATGACTTGCTGGTTGCTTAGTTGCTTATTGCCGTTGCAATGAACTCTGTCATGACTCGCCTTGGTGGCTTTTTGTGCCTGCGTTGGTAAGTTTGGCGGCATCGTATATATATAACTTTTATTCTTCTTCTTTGAGTGTCATGCAATCATTATGTGGTAATTTTGTATTTCTGTGGAGCTTTAGGTGTAAAAACACTTGTGTGGTTATGAAATTCTGTTCAGGTTCGTGTCTTAAGTCTTTTGTAACTATATCTATATTTGCTCTCTGCATTTATTCTAGTTTTCTGTCCGGAAATATATAAATGTGCGTTGTTGGAAGGGATAAAATATATGTGTGTTAAGTATAGAGAAGCGCTTTTTGAAACTTCTAGCTATTGAAGAGAACATAAGCCCTAATTTGAGAGTAGTTATTGCAGTTAGATAAAGTTTGGATTTAGAGCGAATATTAAAAAAAGAAGTTAAATGGAAATGGAAGCGTAAGTAAGATTAGAAAAAGGGTTTAGTAAAAGAAGAATAGTATATATTATGTGTAAAAATAATAGTAGGAATTTATTTTAATAGTTGAAATTGTTGTAGCGCTACTGGTGAAAGATTGAGTAGAAACAAGAAGGGAATAAAATTATTATTCCATATTTAAACCATAGTCAAAGTAAATATGAAAATAGTTTGAAGTCCTTCATAAATTTAATAAATCGCTTCTATTATATTTTTCTATAATTCTTCCTTTTTTAAAGCTCTGCAGATCAATTAGCATCAAGCTATCGAATTTCGATGAGAACGGTCCGTTAAATTTGGATGTATAAGCGTATTTGTAAGAATTTTTTAACTTAGTGAAATCGGCTCTCAATACTTAAATGCACTCTGCTTGCAGCGTCGTTGAGGTCTGAAACGGCTGGACCGATCGACTTAAAATTTTCACACGATCTTCTTGCATATATTTGCCAGGTATTGATTAAAGAATTTTGTTGTTATATATTTTTGATAATAATTTAGATTTTGAAGCCGCTCTGAACTACAAAAAAACTTTTTTTTTAGCCAAGAGGTTAGTCCTTCGATCATTCACTTAAAGTAAAAATACTTTTTTATTATAATTAAAATAAAAAAAATTCGCAAATTGGTAAAAAGGCTTAGTTACATTAGATAGATAAAAGAAAATATTCTGAAAGCCAAAGAACTAATAAAAGGGAGGGTCTGAACGAGATAGTACCTCCGCTGCTTACAGTAAAAAGCTTTTGTTTAAGTGTGACGAAAAAGAAGAGCTTAACGGTGCTCTAAGTAACTAAGACAAATAACAAAAACATTTTGAGAAAGTCTTTTGAATTAAGCATTGGAGCCGAATAAATAAATCGTAGTGATGCTTTGCAACTCTTTCACAACAAAAAAATATATTTTAAAATAAAAATAAAATTTACTTGAAAATTTATGATTCTCCTTTCATTCTTTTTCTTACAAAAAAATAAATTAAATTGAATTAAGCTCCAGACCTACTGATAATATTTTGCACTAAAATTCCCAGAATATTTACTGATAGTTGACTCATATTACAAATTTTTTTATCCACCAATCTTGTAATATTGAACACTGTGTTTGTATTGTACTTCCTGATTATTTTTTGATGTTTGTGTTTTCACATCAATCGCCGGCAGCGTCGTTCCTGTTTTCTGCTTTACTATTTTTTTGTGATAAGCTTTTTAGTTTTATATGCACTCTCTTTCTCAATTTCAAACGTGCCACCTGCTGTTTACCTGCACTCAGTCTATGAGCAGTTTTTGAGAGCGACTCTTCAACAACAACACTTGAGTGTCGACTATGATTTTCTGCATCATTTCCGCTTTGCGTCGAAGCTTCAGTGACGCTTAAGTTGCTTACAAACACACACATCACGATGAACTTAAATTTGCTCAGCAGTTTGTTTATCAGCTGCCGTTTAACTCGTCTGCCAGCCCTCGGCTATCAAGCTGTTGATTTTTTTTATTAATTATCACTCTTAATTTTCTACAACAGAGCTCTCTGTTTACTTCTCCAAGCGTTTCACTGCCGCGTGTTGTTTTGTCATTGATTTTGGAGTATTTTGAATTTCAGTTGGTTAATGGCGCTCAGCTGGCGATTTTCGGTGCTGATTATCTTCGCAGCACGGCCGAAGTAGACGCGCCACTTTGCTTTCGCTTTCAATTTCTTTCTGCTCGTGTGTTGGTGAACGCGCTGCTCTGCTCTGCACGATCTTCCAATAAACGCTGCAGCCAAATATCGGCTGTCGGTGAGTCTTGCGCTGAACGCAGTGGCGGCTAATAGTTGCTGTTAGGTGCTAGAGTGCTTCAGCTGTGCCGTTGGTGAAGTCTTTATAGCGCGTCTTGCCTTTCAATCGCAAAATAAGGAATTTCCAAAGGTTTTCTTGCTTTTAAATATCGAAGTTGAAATTTCGTAGTGTTTTGTTTTTGTTTACATAAACAGCTGAGCAGCGCGCGCGCCGTTTTGCAATAACGGTAAAAATTTAATACTTTAAAAACTAACGAAAATTTCCTTAACTGGTGAAGTTTGTGTGCGAGTATTATAAAAAAGTGGCTATTAAGAAAGAAATATAATACAAAAGTTGGATTATTAAACACGAGTTATAAGAATAATTGGCATTTTTAGCATGGAAAGTGAACTTTGTAGTGTCTTGTTTTTGGAGTGTACATATATCTATAATTCTACACATAAAAACAAAGTTTGGGTATATGTAATGGTCTGATAATTAAATTTGAATAACTGGAAAACTGAGATATTGAAAAACTAATCAAATCATGTGCTTATTTGGAAATAAAGTTCTTTCATACTTTATTGTAGAGTTGATTACATTGATACTTTCAAGCTTCATTTTGAATTCTTGACTTATTTTTTTGTTTTTTTATTTTTATAAAAAGTCGTGAAGTGAAGTGATTTGGTTAACTGCGCATGGAAAAACTTATTTTTCTACAATTATTTAATTATATCAAAAGCTGCAATTTAATTTTTTTCAGATTGAGTTTAAGTGACCAATCTCTATCTAAAAAAACTACATTTTTGACATAGACTATAATGTATGACTGTGGTCCCATTTTTCATAGAAATGATTCCCTAAATATTATACAAAATGATTATATTTTTAGGCTATCGATCTCTTGAATGTAGCAATATTGCACTCTATTCTTTATCCAACCACTTCAAGCAAGTTATACTCGTCCCATTAAGAAATGGAAAAAGCACTCAAGCCTTTAGTTTCAGAAGTCATTCATATTTATTTTCTAAATATTTCTTTGGTTACTTAACTTTTTTGCCTAATCTAATATTTCACTGCCATATTCAGCGGATATAACCAAGTAGGCGTCAATAGAAAAGTTGGAACTTATTTATAAACCTTAAGGATACTCGTATATGGTATATTAGGCATCACTTTTGAATTAAATTCAAACTGAATCTATTAAAGTGGTTAACTGTTCATAGACATAATTAAATGTATATGTAATAACACTAAAATCCAACCTTGAATTCGGATGAAATATATTTGTAGTTTTGATATTTTTAGAGTTTAATAACCAAATGCATTTTCAACTCGATAGTGAAGGCTACTTATACAGATATTGAGTATGTTTTCAAGAGATAAATTCTGAAGTAGTAAAGATTTTTTAGTTTGAAATATAATCTTGCTTAGCGCTATAAACTCGAGTTTAATATTTTGTGTTTAATTAACTCTAATTTAAATAAAATATAAAAATTATTTAAAATAATTAAATTTAATATTTTGTGTTTAATAAACTCGAGTTTAATGATTTGTATTTAATAAACTCTAAGTTAAATAAAATATGAATATCAATTAAAAAAATATTTTGTGTTTAATGAACTCGAGTTAATGTTTTGCGTTTAGTAAACTCCGAGTAAAATAAAACATAAAAATTAATTTAAAAAATAAAAATAAAATGAAGTTTAAAATTTTGTGTTTTTTCACTCTGAGTTTAATTAAATATCTTTTTATGTATATAATTAGAGAAAGTATACAGAGATTTGCAGTGTACTAAATTTTTTGAAAACATCTTTGTAGCTTCATAATCACCAAAAAATTGAGTTTATTTGGAGTTGAAAGAATTTTTTTGTGCGTCGTAAACTTCCTGTTCTCAATATCCTCTGTGACTCAATAGCAAAATAATCAATAAACTCGTGTTTGTTGAAAAATTCCCTACAAAATGGAATTTAAAGGATTTTTAAGTTAAAATATTTCGTGTTTTTTTAACTCTGAGCTTAATTAAATATCTTTTTATGTATATAGTTGAATCAAGTATGTATATTTGCAGTGTACTGAATTTTTCGAAAACATCTTTCCATAATCAACAAAAAATGGAGTTTAAAGAATTTTTTTATGTCGTAAACTCCCTGTCCTCAATAGTGACTCATTAGCAAAATAATCAATAAACTCGCGTTTGTTGATAGGCTTCAAAAATTACCTACAAAGTGGAGTTTATAGGATTTTTAAGTTAAAAGATATTATTTAGTGATTAAATACCTCTTTCCAATAGTAACTTAACAACAAAATCATCAATAAACTCAAATTTTCAAAAATTCACTAAAAAAATAAAAAATGGAGTTTAATGCGAGTTTAAAGAATTTATTTTTGTATGGTAAACTCTTTGTCCCTTTGTCCCCAATAGTAACTCAATGGCGAGTTTGCTGATAGGCTTTGTAAATTCGTTTTGAGTTTGGTTATTTATTTAAATTTAAGGGCGACTGATGAAGTTATCGTTCGTTGGACGAAAGTAACATACCGTTTTTCATAAGAATCTTCTGAATAACGCATGAAATTCGAAAATATTGAATGCACTCTGACTTACACTCTATGCAGTTAGTTTGTGTTTAGACTCCTAATTTTAGACTTGGTTGATTTTATTACATCTTACAACACATTCTTGTGGACTTAACTTCATTCCTCAATACTTTCACGCACAAGCATTCGCACATTAATGCACAGCGTGTGTAGGCAAATATTTCAAGCATTTTTTATAAAAGTTATAAAACGTGGCAGTAACTCATTGCCAATTATTTCACGGCGCTGCGGTTCATGTGCCCGGGCACTTTGTCTGGTTATGCATTAATTTTGCATTATGTGAAAGAGCGGTAAAAGCGACCAAATCAACAACACAAGCAAATTGCAAAAAACGAAAATAAAAAAAGTGTGAAATTTGTAAAGGCACCAACAAAGTGCATTTAAAAAGCAAAACGAAGTGAAAAGTAGTGAAATTATAAAAAAGAACAACAAAACGTGCAATTAAAAAGTCAATAGCAATACATTTTCCGGCTTGTTTTGCTCATAATTCGCCATTTCGCTTTTGCCACGCGCATTCGGTTATTACTTAACGGTTTTCTTTTGTTTCGCAATTACGCGCCACATGGCAAGTGTTAAATAATTTTTCCATTTTATCTAATTTTTACTATTTTTTTTACCAGCGTTAAGGTTGTAAGCGTTTTGAATCTCACATATACATACATACAAACATCTGTGCATACCTCACAAAAGTCAAGCTAGTCAAACTAACCACTTTTAGTTTATAAAAAACAAAAAAAAAACGAAAAGTAACTTCGTAAAATAGCGCTTACCAACGCAACTACAACAACAATAACGACTAAGAAACCGGTGCTACAACTATAGCGCGCTGTCCACCATTCTTACAAGAATCTGCACCAAAAGCCAGTGCGACCCTGTGTTCGTGTGTGTGTGTGTTTATGTGCTCACTTAATTTTGTGCCTATTTGAGCATAAAAGGAAATCGCCGCTGTAATGGCTCCCAAGAAAGAAGCAACCTTGAATTTGCAGCAACAACAACAGCAACAAGTTTTGGATATCGAGCGTATAAAGCGACATTTTAGCTGGTCCGATCCAAATGCAATGTAAGTCAAATGGCATTTTTTGCGCTTGTTCGCATATCTTTAAGCATATAGGTATATACACTTAAATAGATATATAATATAATGTAAATGATATCAAGAAATTCAAGCGTCGACATCAGCAAATAACTTAAGCGTTTAATGAGCAATCTTGTTTGAGAAATGTGATATGTGAGATATATACAAAGTTTGTCTGTTGGTGTTAACACATATATAGCGCGTTAATCTGTATATTTGTGTGTGTATGTGTGTGTGATGACAAGTGATCTCAAATTACTAAACTTCGTTTTATATTGTAATCTTCTGTTTATATGTATTGCCCAGTAAAGGAGTTTAAGTTTTTTAAAGTGGTTCGCTTACTATTGAATTCGCACCTATAACTAGTTTATGCTTGGGAATACTACTTTTATACCCCGAACAGGGTATATTAAGTTTGCTATGAAGTTTCTAACATATATATATATAAATGATCAGCGAGATGAGCTGAGTCGATTTAGACATGTCCATCTCTCTCACTATTGATATATGCGTTAGTCCCTCAGTTTTTGAGATATCGATCTGAAACTTTTTACACGTCCTCTCCTCACCAAGAAGCTGCTCATTTGTCGGAAAGATATATGACCATTATAACGTATAGCTGCCATATAAACTGAACGATCGGAATAAAGTGCTTGCATGAAAATTTTTTTTATTTATCTTCACGAAATTAGGCGTGGATTATTGCTTAAACCATAATGCAGTTTCTGAGGAATTTGCTCAGATCGGAAATCTATAACATATAGTTGTCATACAAACTGACCGATCAAAGTCAAGTCTTTGTATGGAATACTGCACAAAAAATGTTCTAAATTTAATAATTGTGGACATATATGAACCAGTTACGGACTAGTTACATATATAATTAGAACTTCTTTGAACTAGTTTCGGCTAGTACTATGAAAACCAGTTACAGTTGATTATTTCGTTACTACTTAACGTCCTTTGTTCGAAGAAAGGCTTTGGATATAATAAGATGGGAGGGGGACGGGGCTGAAATTTGAACTTTTTACATTTTTTTGTATTAATTATTTTATAAAAATTGTTCAAAATTGCTCAAAATGTTTAGTTAGAATATTTCATAACGTTGATAATTTTAGAGTATAGCAGGTGCAGAAGCTGTTTTGAAGAAGTCGAGACAAAATCTCAACCACTTCTTCTTGGTTATCACGCCTTTGCGAGATCTAGGCTAAAGACCTTGGAAGTCACACTTTCAAACCACTCGGTAAAAAATTTGGAATAGAAATGAAATGCCTAAGCAGATTTGTAATGACCTTAAACCGCTTTGTCAACCAACAAATTCTAATTACAGAAGCTTCGCAAAGAATTATATATAGTGCAATCCCCATCCTCAGCAGCAGTCATAGAGTCTAACCTGCCCTAAAAATGCATTGCAATATATTGTAATAGGTTCTTTCCGGATTAATAAAAAATTATATTTAATGGCAAATAACATTTTTAAATTAAAATTTCAAATTGCTCTAACATATAATACATACTTTCTTGGCTACGGCTCGGACTTAAACCAAACTTTCATTGAATTAAGCTGTTAAAGTTTTGAACGGTGATTATACCCATATATAAAAGTTGTTTTATGTAAGAACAGAATTCTAACTTCAATAGCTTAAAGCTGGCGGTGCTTGAATTGTGTATACTAAGTCTTGTTTAGTTTTTCAGAATTACAGATTATTGAATCAATTTTAAAATGCATATAAGCTAAACTGAATTTAAATTAAACTTGAAGTTAAAAAAAACTATGTCTAAATTTTATACTTAATTTAATTTAATTAAGCATTAAGCATTTAATTGCATTAAAAGATTTTATATATTTTAAGCCTTTGCTTCAGGCGTAGAAAGTACAATATGTTAGAAGAATCAAAATGGTCAATTCAAATTAAATTTCAATTGGACTGAAGAATTATTTAGAAAAAAAATAAATTGTGCAAATATATTTAAACATAAATCAATTTCAATTGATTTCTAAAAGGTCTTCAAAAATTTATTTAAACAGAACCTGACCTCAATTAGGTGATTAAACCACCTCGTGACTTTTATTAAATTTTTTACTAACTTTTGTGTCAGGACTGCTCATAACCCAAATAATCAAAATAATTAATAATTACATGACAAATTATTCAATTATCATAATAATGATGATTTCTTTATATACATACATACTCGTATATAAAAATATAAGATTTCGCACATTTCAGTTGACTAAAAGTAAACGACAATGGATTAGATAAATGTGCAAAAATCATTAATAGCACAATGAGAACATTGCGTTAATTAAACTTCAATAAGCAAAATATTTGTGTCAGTGTAATATAACAATTACAAACTTTTTTAATTAACTCGATTAGCACCTCATATTTAGTAAAGGTACACACACAACTTCTTAGAGAATGGGTAAACAACTTTGGCGGTAATGTGAACTCGTACTCCATAATAGCAGCGCATAAATTATTATGTAATTATACCACTTTTAATTCTAAATTATGCGGATCCATTTATTTAAGTTAATAAAGAAATAAGTGTCTAAGTTTTTTTAAAGATGAATGCCAGAGGTAGCACTTTTAAAAAATGGAGTAAACAAAAAAATTCGGATGTACCAAAGCTATGATACCCTGCACAGGTGCATTTCTTATAGCGTAAAAATATATAAAAATAATTTTGTCTTGATTTTTAACGGTCAGTTTGTATATCAGCTATATGCTATAGTCGTCCGATCTGAATAATTTATTCGAAGATTGTACCGCTGTCTTGAAAAATAATCTATGCCAAGTTACGAAAAGATATTTTATCAAATAAAAAAGTATTCCATACAAGAACTTAATTTTGATCTGGCAGTTTGTATGAAAGCTATATGCTATAGTGAACGATTCCGACAAGTGAAAAGTTGGTAAAATTTTGAAATTAAGACATAAATTCATGATCGTACATTACCCATAGAGCTCAAACCTTGAATCAAAAAGTTTTCAACCAAAATAAATCAATCTGCTTAAAGAGAGTAAAAGAGTTTGTTTCGGCATCTCAACCGGTTTTCGAGGTATAGACCTGAATATTTCTCCTGAGGAACTGAAACTCTCACGTTGGTATAGATAAATTATGGTAAAAAATTGAGTTATAGCATATTAGTCTGCAATTTTTTATTATTAAATTTTGGGATAGAGTTGCCATTTTTTATTAAAAAAATTAAAATAATATATGTGAAAAATGTGTTAAAATAAAATGGCGCAATTACAAAACATTCTTTAATGTTTTTTTACATATTTAGGAATGGAGTTGCCACCTATTAAAAAAGGTAAAATGGTAAGCATGGCAGAATTTCTTTAAACATATAAGGTGTTGAAGAAACTTTCAGATAAGTACCGGAAATTCTTCTATTTTTTATATATTTTGTAGTAGAGTTGCCACTTATCGAACCGAAAAAAATGTAACATTATAATAAAATAATATTTTATTGTACATCTTTTTAAGAAGCGTACAAAATTCCTTGGATCTGTAAAAAGATCTACAAATTTCCAGTTTTTACATATTTAAATTTTCAATTTCTTTTTTTACAAAAAATTACCACTAGAGTGCGCCCTGTTATAAGAACTTGAAAAATATCTTCTACTAATTAATTTTGTAAAACTTGCAAACATTTTAAATTTTAGGTTAAAAATCGTTTTCATTTCCATTTTTTTGTTTTATTAATAAAGTTTAATTGATCGCTATTGCATACAGTTTCAGGACAAGAGTACTTAGTGTGAAAACAAAAAAAAAAAAAGATCTTCGTAGTTAAAAAAAAAACTACTGTGTCAACTGTTTTAAAATTCTAGGGGTATATTTTAGAAATCATGTATAAATATTTTTCAAATTATACGTGTTTGCCGACGCCGCTAAAAATATTCTCTTTTGCTACATTGGCATGCGGTCGAAAAAAAAATAAAATCTGCCTTCGTTCTTTAAACTCTCGCAACCTGTTGCTACAGAGTATAATAGTTTTGTTCACCTAACGGTCCGTCCGTGTAAGCTGTATACATGAAATTTTATCTCTGGGCTGATATGAAATGACTTTATTGGAACCGTGTTCAAAATTAGAGAGTGGGCGTGGCACCGCCCACTTTTAGGGGAAAACCCATATCTTGGGAGTTGCCTAACCGATTTCAACCCATTTCGGTACAAAACATTTTTAACATATTTCTATGTTTTACGAAATTGGGAAAATAGGATTACAACCACGCCTATTTCCCATATAATTCCATTGGTAATTCCATCTGGTTCTTTCACTTTCCACTATGCAAATCAAGCAAAATATATAAAGAAATCTCAAACGAGTATACTTTGCGAGAGTATAAAATGTTCGATTACATCCGAACTTAGCACTTCCTTACTTGTTTTTAAGTTGAATTTTACCCAAAATTTTGGTCGTTTTTGGCCTGCCATAAGAAATCTTCCATGGTGTTACCAAAGGAACGCTACAGAGAGGTATTGGTGAAAGAAAGTATTCCTAAGGCTTTGAATTATATTTTTGAATTAATAAGAGAGGAAATCGTTCAGATTTTTATTTGAAAGAACTTTTAGATTTTCGCTAGATTGAAGAAGAGAGGGTCATATTACATAATTTTAAATCACTGTTTACTAACAATGTCATAGAAAAAGTACTTCAAGTAATACTACATAAATTTAAAGTTTCTAAGTGTAAGTCTGCAAATATAAATAATATTGAAAAACCTCAACTGCAACATCAAGAATAATTCGCTCCCTAATAGAAACATCTACCAATTGTATCTAGGTTCTCTAATTGCAGAATACACACTTTTGTTAGCACAACTAAAACAAAAATATATATGTATGCATGAGTATTTACATATTTCAAGGTGAAAACATTTAAATATGCTAACTATTAGACATACTTGTATTTGATTAGGGGCGCTGGAAAAAGTTGTAGAAATCCGTGTGTAAATAAGTTGCGAAATTTT